TACGACTCGGATTCTTGGATGACTTCGTCGCCTTCTTCATAATCCAGCGAGAGCCCGACACCGATATCAATTGGTCTGTCAATGCCCTTGTTGAGATGAATCTCCAGCCCTCCGTTAGCGCCACTGGAACCATGACGATCATGGTGGGTGGTAATGGACTCAATTGAAGCGGTGATCTCCGTGACCTTCTCCTCTTCCTTGATCAGGGTGTAGTGGTCGATCAATTGCTTGAGAAGTGTGACCACAGTTTCAGAATGCTCTCCGTAGTGACGCTTGTAGCACTCAACCAACAGCAACAGGACCTCTTCTCTCTTGACCATAATCTCGGTCTTGGTGCTTGTGGTCCTCTGCTGGGTCAACTCAATGAAGGTCCTAGCCATTTGCATTGTCACGATATGGCGTGAAGTCAAAAGCGTGCGGCTCAGCGTGGCGGCTTCAAAGAACAGAGGAATGGCTTCAGAGATATACTCCAGGCGCTGGTTTAAAAGAGCCAAGAAGATGATGGACTGAAGAGTCACAACATGATTCGCTGACAGCATCTGGCGGTAGATGTTGGTGACAGTGGTAAAGTAGAGCAGCAGCGTGGGTGTAGGTGCATTTTCCCACAGCGTGCTCTCAAGTCGCAGGGTCGTGATCGAAGCCGGTAGCACCTTGGCAAACTCCTTCGCTGCTGCGACCTCACCTTTGGCTGTGAACGCTGAGGTTTGCCGAACATGGTGCACCCAGTAGCGCACGGCAAATTCGAGCAGGGGATTTCTGTTGATGAGGCGGTCGGTATCGTGCCAGTCCAGCGATACAAGGGAGAGTTCGTTCTCCTGCGTCACCGTTGCCCGGATGTAAATCAACAGGCGAGTCACGAGATCGGCGTGGCGGTCTTTGACGGTCGAAACTAGTTTGCCTTTGCTGAAAATATCCAGAAGGGAGGCTCGGAAGAGGCCATGACGAATAAAAACCTGACCATCTTGCACGAATACCAGACCATTGAGTGGTCTCAAGACTTGCAATACGTCCAGCTTACGGTCCGCCACCGTGAGCTTGTCGACCTGTATAGAAGCCAAAAGCTCGAGTTCTCTGAATTGAAGCGGCCGATCGGCTGTAATAAGCCAGAGCAACATGTTCTTTGCATCCTCAGTGACGTTGGGTCCTTGCAGAAGTTGGAGGACAAAGTCGGCAAGAGTAAGCTTGGCACTCAACAGGGCATCCACGGCCTTGTGGAGGCTCTCCTCAGTCTCCTCGTAGCGAATCCGTTTTGTGGCGAGCTTCCCCCAGAGGAATGAGCCCTGGGACGCTTCCGTGATGCGGCCAACGATGGTCTCCTGATCCAGCTCGGACATGCCCAAGAAGACACGACTCTGCTGTAACTGATCCCGTACAACGGCGGCAATATCATCGAAGATGAGTTCCTCGGTGATCTGGACAAAGGCTTGATCTGCTGCAGTGGGAGGCTTAAGTGCACCAAGGGTGATCAATTTCACGTTACTCCCCTTAGCAGTGGCTGTGGCCAGCTGGTTGAGCATGGCGGTTTCACTGCAGGCTGCCTCGTCAACGCCATCGACGACAATGACAAGCTCTTTGGCACCAGGCAGAGCCACGCTGAGCGCTGCCTCCAAAGCATTCCACAGCAGGCTGTCATAATCCTGCTCGTTAGTGGCCTTCTTGCTGCGCTCATGGGCGACACTCAGGATCTGCAGCAACTGCACATTTCCGATGCGCTTATCGAAAAGCTGGTACAGAATGCTTCTGGCTACCGCACGCGGTGTTGCCTCTGCTGGCACTCTTGCATCTGCGGATAAAATTAGGAGGTCGCTTACCGAATGGACTATCTGAAATACTCACTGATTGGAACGAACAATGTGGCGTAGGAAACACCCCCGATCGTGTGCTGCAGCTGATCAACAATCACAGAGGCCAAAACCGTTCGTCCGGAACCAGGCTTGCCAGCGATAGCAAGAGTTTTGAGCGGACTCTTCAAAAAGCGCGCCAAGTAAGGTGCCATCCAAAGACAGGTCATTTCCTCCCGGTCATGGGCCAGATGGGAACTTTGCTCTGCGACATTACCGAGAACACGGTCTTCAGGGCTCAGCCATAGCTTGATTGCCTTGGGATCAGACACTGTTCCTGGTCAGCTGCTATCCAAATGGATAAAGCGATGAATATACCTTTTTCGAGGTCCAAGTTCTCCCTCAGGAGTTGATGACGCCACATGGCCTCAGAAATCTTCTCGCATCGGTCACGGAATGTCTGAATCTGGCCAGGGAAGGTCTTGTAAAGGTCAATGGAGATCGATGCCGTAGTCAGGCCAAGGATCGCTTTATGAAAGTGCATTGACACACTGGCGACCAGGGTGACCAAGTCCGCAAGAGCGAGAACCAGCTGTTCCCGAATTTCTTGGGAGACGCTGAACAGCTCCGTCCGCTCAAGTAGATTTCCAAGTTTCATCGAAGTGCTGTAGAAAAAGCCGAAGGAAATCATCAGCGCAGATGCATTTTCTTGTCCTAGCTGCGAGGTGTGTCAGCGTCGTGAAGTCATTTGAGGACGATACATGATTGTACCTCGAGTAACAGAGCACAATAGCCATAAGCCAACCGCGCAGCTAAATAGCTATCACCGGCAAACTCCTCAATCGCCTCGTCAAAGGAGTGCAGCCTCTCGACAAAAAGCTGCGCCCATGATAGCACCTTGTCGTAGCTGCTCCCTTCAGGGGGAAGCAGGCTCATCCGCTGGGAGCGAATCCAGTCCAAGACCGAGTCATGTGTATGGTTCAACAGCTTGGACGATGCACCGGCGCCGAGCTCGTCGCCGCTTCGACGCTTGAGGGAGTGCACCAAACTGGATACTTCTGTTGTTTCGACAGACTTGAACTTCCTGGAGGACACCCTACGGGAAGTGACAGAACGGGCGACGCCATTGTTTGAGAGAACATCGCTGTCCAAGAGACCCGACACACGTCTGTTGCTAGCTAGCAAACCAGGAGGCAAGGGAGAGGAAACTGTGGCTGCCATGGTAGTTAAGATGACCGGGGCTATAGTAGAGGTGGTGATATCTGTTGACTCTTGGGAAGCCTGAGTGTGGACGACAGGTGGAGGGGTATTAGAACCTGCAGATAATGATTGCTTTGAATTACTAGTTGGAGGGACAATGGTTGTGGGCCCAGTAGGGGAGTCGTAATCAACTGTCGTCTTGATTGAGCCACGACGACGACTCGTAAAGCAACAGAAAAAGCAACTCAAAACAGCATCAGAAGGAAAGAACCATTGAGTAAGAGGAAAAAAGACGTTGCAGACCAGAGCAGCGAGGCGATTTTGAGAGGGCATAGGTTCCTTAAATAATCATATAGAGAATGAGGGGGGAAATTTTCGTACGCTACGTCGCTGTATGCCACGGCGAGCACTGTGCAGAGCAACCGTCTGGACTGCATGCAATCAAAGGTGCATTGGGATGAAATTCTCTGAACGGAGCGCCCGACATCAGTCTGGGCTTCTCACTACCATGGTGTAGGAAGACGTTCCAGATCCACCGTCTCCCACGGCGTCGCCGGTAACAGGCTGGCTGAATGACAGGGGATTCGAGACAGTGGCGCTCAATGCCTACCATTTGCATTCAGGGCTTTGTTGCACTGTGATTGAGCGAGATGGCGCTCCTCGGAGACCACCCTCAGGAGCGACTCGACTGATTTAGAAATTGACATGTCTGCTACCTGGGAAAAGAAAGCACGAGCATACCCTCATTTGTCCTCTCGATGCATAAGTATGCGGTAGAGGAGGAGGAAAGAAGTAGCTCTATGCGAGCTTCATCCGCAGCGGGTAATTTCTTCCTCGCACTCTATATTGCAGCAGTTACCAGTTACCATAGTTGTTTATTGCACATTGGTGGATTGAACGACCGTGCCACCGAGGCTTGCTCTCTTCATGCAAACTGCTGTGAATGTCAAGGTTAGCGTGAGCCAGATCGCTCCATTATTCATAGAGTGAGCGAGGCCGGCAACTACAAATACTTGTGAAGGCTGACGCTATTGGTCCATCGTGGTTCTCGTAAGTCACAGCGATCCCTGTCAGATTGTTGCGTGCAGACTGTGGCTACCTGAGTCAAGCTGGTTCCCCACATTACTATTTTCCTCCTGTCAGCTGGCTGTAGTAAATTGCACGGCCAATGAAAAGTGAAAGGTCAATCCAAGCTGGATGATCCGGTGATGTCCGGACGAACTGTCCATCGAAGCACTTGAGCAATGGGGGAGAAGAGACGTCTAAAATCGCGGCCAGGGCTATTCCTCATAATTTGCCGGTTGATTGTCGGATGAATTGGGCTCAGATGCCTTGAAACAGCTTCGCAGACTATATTGTTCTTGCTTTTTTTCTTTGCTTTTTCCTTTTTCTTTTTTCTCGTGTCTGACAGAGGACGTTGTATGGAGAGGACAAGAGACAAAGGGCCTGCAAAAGAGGGGGGGAAAAGCAAGCAAACAATTGGCACCTTAGCGGTTCGTCGAAGCGCCCATAGAGAGTAGTAATAATTGCAAGGATGATGAGATGACCAGGGATTTGACAAATCTCTTGCATGGATCCTCAATTGAGTCCGTCCATCATTGTATCTTATCACGAGCGTGTAGGACTAGAGGGTACTCGGACCTGTGAGGACTGGCAAGCGCTCGACTCATAATCACCGGCAGTCCATAAGCGTTAGAATGAGTAGGCACAGGCCGTTTGTAGAGTCTGCACAGATCACCTCCTAGCTCGACAGTAGTGACAGAATAGGCCGATGATTGTGGTGGCAGTAGAGTAAATAATCCCCGGAGCGTAGATAGTTAGTTGTACTCGGCATAAATGTCTCGATTTGTATCCAAGAGCAAAACATACAAACCTTACCTTTTTAGGCAAGGGATTGTCAGGCAACCGTCAGCAGTCAGCCACATTCAATCCCCGCTTTCTCTTCTTTCTGACAACTGACAACATTGTCAAATTAGCTCGCCATCAGTTCATGTCAGCACTGCAATTTAGAACCACAGCATGGGATCGAAGAGCCCTGAAGGACACTGGCAGGCACCTCATGGTATGAATGACTTTTATCCTCCCACAAACGACAACCGTCAGCAACTCTAATTTATCCTTCCCTTATAGCCTCCAACTCCAATGAGCTCAAGCCAGCCAATCCCGACCCTCAGACCTCTCAAAATGGCTCGGGATCAGCCGATTTGGATCGCGGAGTCATTGGTGATGATGATGATGACGACGAGGATGCCGAAGAAAATGGGGTGAACACCGAGACTCCCAATGTTGGTAAGTCCAATCAACCACTTCCCAACTTTCGATCAAGTGCACTTAACCACCACTGATGGTCTATCCGTAACAGAAAAGAAGAAGAAACGCAAGAAGTCCAACAAGAAGAAGAAGAAGAAGACTAAATCGGGAACCCTTTCGGTGACTGAGCTCAAGCAAACTAGCCCACCGCGTGTGCTGGTCTCGACTTTATTCCCTTCAGAGTATCCAGTAGGAGAACTCGTCCCATACGACTGTACGACGCGCACGACCGATGAAGAGTCGCGCTACAACTCGCGTCTTTGGGACGACGACTTCCTCCCCGATTACCGCCAGGCTGCCGAAATCCATCGCCAGGTCCGCCAATATGCGCAGAAAGAGCTTATCAAGCCGGGAGCAACTCTCCTATCGATTGCCGAGGGTATTGAAGATGGTGTTCGTGCGCTTTCCGGCCACCAGGGACTTGAACCTGGAGACTTCTTCAAAGCCGGCATGGGCTTCCCCACTGGCTTATGCTTGAATCACATTGCCGCTCATTGGACCCCAAATCCACGTGAGAAAGACGTCATCCTGGACAAGGGTGATGTCCTCAAGGTAGACTTTGGTGTGCATGTGAATGGTCGCATTGTGGATTCGGCATTTACCGTCGCTTTTGACGACAAGTACGATAATCTTCTTACTGCAGTGAGGGAGGCAACGAATACCGGTATCAAGGTATGTCTGTCCACGCAAGAACTTTGAGCTGAATGCTGTGATGCTGATGCGCAGGTAGCATGCTGGTGTTGATGCAAGGATGAGTGATATTGGCGCCGCGATCCAGGAGGTGATGGAGAGCTACGAAGTCGAAATTGACGGAAAAGTCTTCCCGGTCAAGGCTATCCGCAACATCACTGGCCACGATATTCTCCGGTACCATATCCATGGCGGAAAACAGATCCCCTTTATCAAGAACAATAACCAGGACAAGATGGAAGAGGGAGAAGTATATGCCATTGAGACTTTTGGAAGTACTGGCAGAGGATTCCTCGACGATGATGTAGGGCACAAGAGAGTTTTTCCCCTTCAGTCCATTTCATTTTTCTAATGCTGCAGAAGGTCGGAGTCTACGGCTACGGGAGAAACGAGAACATGTCTGGTGCCAATCTGCGTCTTTCCTCGGCCAAGTCACTCCTCAAAACCATCGACGCCAATTTTGGCAGCATCGTCTTTTCTCGCCGGTATCTCGAGCGTCTTGGGGTGAAGAACTATCTTCTTGGGGTAAGCAACTGAGAGAACGTTGTGTATACGTTATTGACTTTACTGCACAGATGAAGAATCTGGTCGACAACGGCATCGTTGAATGCTATTCGCCGCTTGTTGACGTGAAGGGTTCCTACACGGCCCAGTTCGAGCATACGATTCTCCTCCACAGCGGTGGGAAAGAAGTCATCAGCCGTGGTGATGACTATTAATTTGAATACATGAGCACAACTGCCCATTCAACGATTTGGCTACCTTGTTGCCGTCCAGTCCTTACCTCGCTATGTCTCTAGTTTCCCACCCTTGTCACTCGCTTATCTGCAGTGAATTCAAACCACACAGTCTCTCGCTATCTAGGATAACCATTACAGTGAAATGTGAAACTTATACTGTTCGACCAACTACTCCGTAGTGTATCTTAAGAAATAATCTTATCCTTCTGGATGCTATTGATAGTACTCCGTACTAATACGTAGCTCTTGAGGTTATCCATGCCTCATTGAAACCCCGCACTGGATTGGCCCTGGCCTGAGGAACTAGCAACAAATCATGGATCTGTGCTGGGAAAATGACTTCCACGTATGCCATAGCAATCGCATCATCATTACAAGATTCCTGGATCTTCTGATCTTCTGATCTTCTGATCGTGGATCGCCTAGCTTATCTTGCTTTGGATCCTTGGAGAGGGACAGTCAACGTGGGGGCCGCATGACTCCGCGTCATCCTTGTTTTCTTCACTTTTTACCATGGTTCCTCCACTTTATCTAATAGTCCCCATATTCCCTCTTTCTCGACACCTGTAGACAAACATCGATTGATCAGTTCAATTGAAATAATTCACTATGAAGATTGAAACTCTTCGCGAAATATCCTCGCACAACCTACGAACCTTCCAAAATCACTATGTTTCCGAGATCTCCGGTTCGCTTGGCGATCTGGGAACCTTTCTTCCCATCGCCATCGCCCTGGCTGTCAATGGGACCGTCTCGCTGTCCAGTACGCTAATATTCTCTGGCATCTTCAACATCCTGACCGGTCTGTTCTTCGGGATCCCACTGCCTGTGCAGCCTATGAAGGCCATTGCCGCGGTAGCCATTGCCCGATCCTTCAGCAACGGGACCATCGCTGCCGCAGGCATCTTCGTCGGCGCATGCATCCTGTTTTTCAGCGTGACGGGTCTACTTCACTGGTTTGCCAATGTGATCCCCATCCCGGTCATCAAGGGGATCCAGGTCGGCGCGGGATTGTCCCTGGTTATCGCCGCGGCGGGGAAGACCCTCGCACCGCTGGGGTGGCTCCAGCCTTCGTGGGCGGATAATCGTCTGTGGGCCATTGCGGCGTTTGTCTTTCTGCTATTCACGAACGTCTATCGCAATGTGCCGTATGCGCTGATCGTGTTCACCTTGGGATTGGTGTTTGCACTTGTCCAGTCGACGTTGGCGGCGAGTCTGCCGTCGCTGGAGATCTGGCGGCCGTTTGTGGTGATTCCCGGGGTGTCGGAGTGGAAGGTTGGCGCGCTGGATGCGGGAGTCGGGCAGATGCCGCTGACCACGCTCAATTCGATTGTGGCGGTCGTGCATCTAGCGGGCGATCTCTTGCCACGGGTGAAGACGCCGTCCATCACGGCCATCGGGTTGAGTGTGGCTGGGATGAATCTCGTTGGGTGCTGGTTCGGGGCGATGCCGGTCTGCCATGGCTCTGGTGGGTTAGCGGCGCAGTACCGATTTGGGGCCCGTTCTGGCTCGAGTGTCATTTTCCTGGGGTTGTTGAAACTGCTGATCGGCGTTTTCTTCGGGGAGACTCTGGTCGGGCTGCTGAAGCGGTTTCCTTCCGCGCTGCTTGGTGTGATGGTCATCGCGGCCGGTCTGGAGCTGGTCAGTGTCGGCGAGAGCCTCAACACCACTGGAGCCAGGGATATCGCCGGGTTTGGGCAAGGACTAACAGGCGATAGCGAGCACGAAATCGGGCCCATGCTCAGTGATATCGAGCGGAAGAGGCGGTGGGCCGTCATGATGGTTACCGTGGGGTTGCTCGTGGGGTTCAAGAATGATGCCATCGGCTTCGTGGCGGGCATGCTTTGCCACTGGGTGTTTCAGCTACCGTGGGCATTTGAGAGGGCGCGAGCGAGATGGAGCGAGGGAAGAATCAGGGTATAGCCTCGATCAACAGTATTGCATTGCTACGACTTAACGACGACTTTGCACACGACTTGCACGGCATCCATTCTGTACAGCTATTCAACACGACATTTCAAAAACTACATCAGCAAATCCGACATATTCACATCCGTCTCTCTCTTCAACCTCGTCCCCTGATCCGTCTCAAACTCCCGACTAGCCCTCTGCTCAGCCGAATACCCGCTCTGCCCACGTCCCCGGCCTCGGTCCCGGTATCGCGGCACCCCATCGGCATCGTAATCGGCACGCTGCTCCTCATACGCCCCTGTGTACGCATTGTAAGTCCTAGCACCAGGTAAGGGGGTCCCGATATCGTACGACGATCTCCCCACCGACGAACTCCACCACTCATCGCCGCGGCTCCTCTCATCGCGCTCATTTTCGGAGCCTGTCGGAATCCCATACTGCGTCCCCGCGTCGTAGGTTGTCGCCCCCGTCTCGTCATCCAGGTCGGTAATCCGCCGGACGCCCCCCGGGAGCGTCTCCGTCCCAGACGCCAGCATCAGCTGCTCCTGGCCGGTGCGGTCGTAGCGGCGCTCCTCGACGACGGCCGGCTGGCCGAGGTCTTGGTGCGCGGTGCGGACCACCGTGTTTCCGTCCGGGTCGGTGTGCGAGGTGGTCGTGTACCGGTGGCCGGTGGTGGTGCTGCCGTTGGTGGTGTTGGTGGTGGAGCTGTAGTAGTAGGAGGAGCTGGTGTAGGAGTCGGCCATTTTGTTTTTCCTTTTTTTATTTTTTTTATTACAGTGTAAAGCCAAGCTATGTATATGCAAGCTATGTATATGAATCTGCACGATATTTGCAGCGAGTATGCAGTGAAAAAGTGTGTGCAGTCGATTGTTTATATACTTCCCGTGGCGAGGAGAAGCCGCTTGACATCATCACATCATAACAATGGCGAATCTCCGCCTCCACACTCGGAACCTGGCTTTGCTCATTCGGAGTCTAGAATCCTAGTCAATGGCCACGATGACCAGAACTAGAGAGACCATGGTTGTGATCAAGACCATACTATTACTAGTGTAGAGCTTCTACTCTTGAGTTACTTCACCGAGTCAGGGCTCCGGAGGTGTCTTATGTCAGATAAAGATCGTTAAAAAACTAGTGCATTCGACGTAGCGATCTAAGAACTTTAGATACTGCGTCATGAGATGACGAAAAAGTCTATTCAGATACAACTTTTAATGTACTATCGGGATATCAAGTGCACAATCGCTAAAGAACTCCACAATCAAGCATCAAGCACAAGGACGGAAACGCTCAAAGGACAGACGATACCGAGGGCTGGACCTTAAGCCAGTCCCAATCCTTTCCTGGCCAGCATATGCTGACGAGAAGAGGATATAACTAACTGGCCAAGGAGTACTCCTGCCCACGAAGTGAGCGAGGTAGAGGATTGCCAGAAGGCCAAGAACGCCAGGGCGGTGTTGCGAACAACCGCTCCAGCATATTCGGCAACAGTAGAATTCTGGACCACCTCTGCTCGGCTTCCAGGTAGACTCCAAGTCCAACTGTTGAGCCAGAAGTTTGCTTTGCCCTTTGCGTGCTTGTTTGCCTGGGTGCGTTGGGCCTCGACCAGCTTTCCAACGTCGTGCTGGGAAGTCAGCTTGTATCTGAATGGCTGGAGCACACCAGACGACTCGCGGAGGAGGCCCGGAGAGAAGTGAACAGCGCGAACAGCACCATCTTGCCGGCCACGGAACCCAGCAGTCGCCGTTTGGCCGTTCTGGGTTACCAGTGGACCAGGCACCGGCGAAGTGTAGCCGTCTGTACGCCAAGGTCTTGCCTCCTTTAGCGACTGACAAGCTTGAACATGCGCATGCGCGGTGTTTTGCCGTCCAGCAGAATTCTGGGCCGAACGTTCTGAACGTTGGACATTCACTGGAGATTTCAGCGAAACAACGTGTCCACCAGAATTTTGAACGATACGCCCCATGACTTGGGCATTCGGTGCGGGCGTCCATGAAACAGCCATGTTTGCACGTCCAGCCGAGCTGTGAGCGGAACGCTCCGAGGGTCGGACATTCGTCGAAACGGTTGGTGAGATTGCGGTGTTTACACGTCCAGCAGAATCGTGAACAGTACGTTCCACACGTTGTACATTCGCCTTTACCGTTGGCGACATCGCAGTGCTTGGTTGAACAGATCCAGGTACCGCTTTGACCGCACGGCTCCTGTCCAAAATTGCGGGTGGTAGAGTCGGCAGGGTATTGGGGCCGAGGCGTTTGGTTACAATAACGTTCTGGCCAATGTTCCTGACCTCCAGTCGGGCCTTGGTAGATTGGGCTAGCGCTGTGACGGCAGAGTCGTTCAGAACACGAGAAGCAGACTTGTCGAGGCAATTGCACTGTACAGCATTAGCATGATATGATCTGAGCCGACGATGTGGGACTTACCCGCTTATGCTGTTTTCGATGTTTCTCGCAGGCCCCATGTTTCCGAACTTTGATGTAGTTTTCTTTCTGAGCTTGGGACCGTGGTTTCTGCTTTTTCGGCAGATTGGTGGTCGTGTTCATATTCAAATCAAGCACCAACTCAACTCCACCGTTGGAGGGGCTCGGTCTTGAAGAGGGTGGGGTAGATGACTTGGCGGAGGGTTCAGAGGCCGATGTGCTGGATGGGCTTCCGCGAGACTGTGGCTCAGATGCGCTTCCTGCAGCAGAGTCGGGCCAGCATGGAGAGGAAAAGCTGCCGCATGACTCTGAAGACAGATTAAGATCAGTCGTTGCAGCATCTTGCAGGCGCTGTAGGTGCAAAGCAATGGAAGCCTCAAGACGCTTTTCTTTTCTCGAGAAGCAGCGCGGGTCCGCGGCTGCCTGAGATTCGATCAGTTGTCGGTAGTTCGAAGGTGAGTAGAAGGTTTCTTCCATATTTGAGGCGTCGAATGATGACCATGTGGCGTCAAACGTCGAGGAAGAGCACTCCACTTCTGGAAACGATGGTAGTGGAGGAACATTCTCGGAGAAGCCAGCCATGTCCAATGGCATTTCTGTGCTTCCTATTAAAGGGTCCTCGAATGCCACAAGGTCGGAGAAGGCTGACTGAGGCCATTGAGCGGCTTCGGAGTCCCAGTTCAGCGCGTCTGCATCACTGTAGACCAACTCCAAGTCTTTTGGAGAGATCGAGTCCAGGGAGGGTGGATTGCTCTCCAGATACCCTGATGCAAACCCGAAGGAGTTGTCAAAGTCAGCCCACTCGTCAGCGCGAGCAGGGTTCTCAATGTGAAACAGCGATTGGTTTGCAGACATTGCTTCGATTGCACTAAGAATGACGCTGAATGACTAAGATGATGTCGAATGACGATGGAAAGATCGATTAATATTAGAGATGAGGCCGTCCGTCTTCGAGATAAGATCTCGGCTATTTACGGTCTTGTGAGAGGGAAAGAATGTACTTTTTGAGGGTTGTGCTCGCCAAAAGGCAGAAGGTCGTGCACCTAGGTGAACAGGCGTATGGTCTGAGTGTAGAGGAGGAGAGGATGCGAAGAACGAAGGATGAAGAGAAAGAGAAAGAGATGCCTGAAGATGAGGGAAGGTCATTCAACTCGAGCCAGATACGAGGAAGCTGACTACCTTATTACCCTCCACAGCCTCAGTCACCAACTTAAGGCACCCGCCTTTCCTCTTTTAGGTCCCCGCCTGTTGCGCGGCCTAAACCGCTTTGGGACCCCGACGGCCTCCCCCACCTTCTTTTTTGTAGCATTTGATTGGCTGATTGATGTATTTGAATGTAACTTAGCTCCCGAAGTTTCATGTGACTCATACTGCATTATCCAAGCAAACTGAGACCGAGATACCTGTCTGCAGAGGAGCATCACTGGTTCAGTGGGGGCTGGTGTGAAGCACATGCATATGTAGAGTAATGCGATATTACCGGGCTGATCTCTATGACGCTCGTTATGACTACTCTGGCTCTACGATCTCGCCAAACGGTGTTACTAGCAACGTCGCAATGGCTGCTGAGAAATATACTATGTATACTAACGTTGAGGCCACGACATATATTGAGTATCTCAGACTCTACATTCTTTCATTCTTCAACACTAAAAGATGCACAAACTCGCAATTACTGATAAAAACACAAATCCACGATTGATTTCCACAAAAACAGCCCGGCTTTTCTTCGCCTCAGCTGTCGCAACCTTACCTACAGCAGACGATACCGGAGTAGGAGTCGGAGTCGGAGTAGGAGAACTGTATTCGCCGCTCTCTGAGTCAAACTGCAAGCACGCCGTCGGCAGAGGGTATGAAGTTGAAGCCAATACGGTTTGCACAGCAGCTGTTTCGGTGAAGACGCGTGGGACATCAACCTCGAAATTCGCCAGGGCTCCCAGATTGATGTCCACGGAGGGAACAATATTCGTAAAGTCCCCAAAGACATTGTCCAGCATTGATGTAAGCTTACCATCGCCATTTGAGACGGACTCGCACTTCTCGTTGACGTTACTGAGCTGTGTCACATTGACAGAAACTTTGGGTAGTTCGAGAAAGGCGCCGACTCCTCCCTGGACGCTTCCTACTGCCGTGTTGATGCCGAGGAGGACTTGAGGCTTGAAGCCAATACTGGCTATAAGGGAAACCAGAGCGGCTTTTGCTTGAAATGGCAAGGCATGGACGGTTGTTTTGTCACTGAGCAGCGGTTAGTCGAAGGACGTGGTGAAATCGTGGGGCTAGCTTACAAGCCTGTGATTGAGGAGTTTGAGATCTCGTCCATGTTCAGCTCCACTTTGGAATTCGCAGGCACCTGAGTACAAGTCAGTGTACGGAAGAAAAGATGGAATGGTGCGGTGGACTAACGGAGAGGTTGAAGCCATATGAAAAGCCAATGTTTTGGGCAAGGCTCAAACTCATATCAAACTCCGCCACTATCATCGGGCCAAACACAAGGACTCCGGGAATCTACTACACATCAGTGACCGGCTCTGCAGTCTTCTGAGCGAACATACCTCGAAAGGACTGAGAGGAATAGCGGGAAGCTGAGCCGTAAAGGAGACCAGATCTTGACTCGCAGAAAGATCGAACTCGAGTTCGACCTGCGCAAAGAGCCCGTTTGCAATTACTTCAATGCTGCCATGGTCAAAGAAAGCGATGGTGTTGTTGACGGCATCCATCAACCCGTCAGATCCAGAAATCTCGAAAGACCCCTTATCTAAGACGATGTTGCCTTCCAGGGAGCAATTCTTGCAAGACACGGTGAGTCCTGACGGTCTGCGAAATGAGCTTCTCTTCTCGGCTTGGATCCGGATGAACTGCGGTTGAATTCACTTACAGAAGCATGTCCGCCGCGGGAATGTCAGGGGGGAATATCTTTCGGTCCACATAATGCTCATTGAGCTCCTTCGTCGACGTTGAGGCGAGTCCCGACGTTGCGCTAGGCGCAGGAAATGTGACCGTCGGAGTCTCTGCGGATCCTCCCATTGTTTTTGTTGTTTCTGATGGTTCAGGCTGCGATTGCTGCTGTCTCTTCGTAGGCGTGTTCGAACGTCTCCGGACTTCGGATGGATGCCTCCGTGAAAAAGAGACTCGAGTTGTGTGAAACGCGTCTTGCCAGCCACAGTCGGATTTCCCTAGAGACAGCACGTTGCGAGTCGGATCTATTACGACCTTGTTGACTCTATACACGATTAATGATGCTCCCTTATGTAAATGTTCGAGGTACTGACCGATATGTTGACCTTGCTCCATCAGGATTACACCCACTATGTGAGGTGACTAGGATAAACCCATCGATCTGCTCGAGTTCTCGATGGACTGAGCGGACTTGCTCAATTGATCCAAAGGATATGTCAACCTGCGATTCCCTGCAGATCACATCTTGGACCGAGTCATCCAGCTCCTCTAATGCCAGGATGGGTGACTTCGACTTGACATCTAAGGTGGCCACAAAGACCGATTGGGGATCTTGATCACCATGAAGGAAGTCAAAACTCGCTTCTCTTCTAAGGATGTTGGATGCAAACTCTGCTCTGGACTCAAGCTTTGAACGAGAAACCGCAGCAGAGAGCCGCCTTGCCTTGGGGAAGTTGAACGGCTGAGCCTCTCTGGAGAGGGATTTCACTGTGGCAGCGCTGACATTGCTCAGAACAGTGAGAGCAAAGATAAAGAAGACCACTACACCCATGATTGATAAAGTAGAATGGCTTGCAAAAAAACGAAGAGTTTCACTTCAATAGCAGCCCCGTTTACCCTTTTATAATGTTACACTACTACTTCTACTAGCCAGCCTAGCCATGATGCATCGACCAGGTCAAACAGATTTGGCCCCGTCAAACAGAAAAAACCAACATCCAAAAGGGTAAGATAAGGCTCACAGCCGTCTTGCTAATCCCACTAGCAATCTCCGCATGGTTCATAAGGACAGGGACCTTTCCTGCTTTAGTATGGTCTTTTGAAGCCGGTGCTGCAAGGTGCTGTGCCGCACGGCTGAAACGTGCTAAGTGTAGTCGAGAACTGCCTATCTCGCGGGTTTTAGTATGGTACAGCCTCCACATCTGTGCCTTACTATCCAGGCTGACTGATAAATTAGGATGTTCTCAATATATCAACCAATCTGACATATAGCACAGACCTTATGTATTCCTGATGATCACTTAGCCCTGTTGGATGGAGTCATCCAGTAAGTTTCGGAAAGTTCCGCCAGAACTGCTTAAGTTGATCAGATAATCCAAGACACAAACGGGGGTAATCGTCTTGGCTCAGCAACTGGAGGATCAAGGACCCATCATTTAAGAGAATCAGTCACTCGAATGCCTTCGCTGTTCTCTCTGTGTAGACTAGTATGACAGCCAGGATGAAACTCTGGTAAAGATAGAGGAAACCATGGATCGATCGGCAGGGTTGACGCAGATATATCGAGTGAGCGTCTGTATCTGAGACCAAAGTAATTTAACATTTAACCGGGTTCCTTGACAGGCATGAATGATAGGAATGAAGGCAAGAATGGAGGCTAAGCATAAATGACAGGAGAAACTGTTATATGAGTTCGCGCTGGAAGCTGTCATGTAAACACTCCGCTAATAACAGGGCATCAGATTGACTTTGTTTGATCTCTTGAATGTCTTAGGATTAGGTACTAATGTACTCCCCAGATCCTTATATGAGGGATCAGATCCCCCGCGGGAACAGCTCACGATTTGTTTCTTAGATGTACGAATAAGTCTATGACGCTTCTTCATCTTTGTCCTTCCTTTCCCCCTCATTTCTGGTCTTCTCTCTCCTTGACTACCTCTTATTCAACTGGCAGACCGAATTTCAACGCCATAATCCTCATATCCATCAATATTCGACGGTATCCTCCCTGTCTTTCCTCTACTTTAACCGGTCAACACAGGAGGAACTGTCAAAAATAATAGGAACCTCCCGCCGCTCGGTTTGTCTCCGCTCCACTTTCACCCTGAACTCCTGGGTCGGTGGCCTCGTGGGGGACTATCACATTCGGTTGCTATTATTACTACTTTTATTGGCGTCTCCATAATTCTAGACGAGTTTTTAGTCGGTTCCAGACCCAAAGGGGAGCAAAATTAGCTGGGGTGGGCAAAAAAAGCTGGAAAGTCAGCAGGACAGACCGTTGGGACCGCCCGGAGAAATCCATCACGTCACGTTGTTCTGTCCGTCCTCCCGACCAGCAATGGCAGCTGCCTTTGACGACGAGGACCTTTCTGTCTCCCTCCCTTCCTACAACTCCGATCGTCAGCGTGAATGTCCCATTGGGGCCGGTCCTCACCCCAGCGCTTCGAATTATCCTGCCATGGCAATGCCTCCGCCCACACGCCCGACCGGGATGGCCGCCGACCCCTCCATGCAGTCCCCGGCGACCATGAGGGACATGCAGCGGCTCGATCAGTACCAGACGGTTAAGATTCTGGGCGAAGGCTCGTTTGGAAAGGTAAAGCTGGCGATTCATCAACCTAGCGGCCGTCAGGTCGCTCTGAAGATCATCTCCCGTCGCAAATTGCTGTCCAGAGACATGGTCGGTCGTGTGGAGCGGGAGATTCAATATCTGCAATTGCTACGGCATCCTCATATTATCAAATTGTATGTTCATGTCCCGGTCTTCTCTGCGTTAACGGGTAGAATTAGACTAATGCTTTTCGACTTTGCAGGTACACCGTCATTGCTACCAAAACCGACATCATTATGGTCCTTGAGTATGCCGAACGCGAATTGTTCGATTATTTGGTCAAACGAGGCCGATGCAACGATGCAGAAGCTCGCAAATTCTTTCAGCAGATCATCTGTGCCGTCGAATACTGCCATCGCCACAAAATTGTGCATCGGGATTTGAAGCCGGAGAACCTGCTTATTGACAAGGATAAGAATGTCAAGATTGCCGATTTTGGGCTGAGCAACATCATGACAGATGGGAACTTCCTCAAGACCAGCTGCGGCAGTCCTAACTATGCTGCTCCCGAGGTCATCTCCGGAAAGCTTTATGCCGGGCCCGAGGTCGACGTATGGAGCTGCGGCGTGATTCTCTATGTATTGTTGGTGGGACGGCTCCCATTTGACGACGATTATATTCCGGCCTTGTTCAAGAAGATTGCCGCGGGCAACTTCCACATGCCCCCTTATATCTCGTCTGGAGCGGCTCGCCTGATCAGATCGATGCTCCAAGTCCACCCTGTCCACCGAATCACTATTCCCGAGATCCGCCAGGATCCTTGGTTTCTGCAAGACCTACCCAAATATCTTCAACCCCCTCCGGAAGAATTCATTGCTACCGGAGTGGATCCGAACAAGGCTATCGACCCTAAGAAGATTGCCCCGGGAAAGCCCCTCTCAGTGCAGCACAAGATCCACCAGATCGCCATCTCCAAGTTGGAACGGAGCATGGGATATGCGCGGGAAGATATCGAAGATGCACTCAAGAGCTCCGAGCCCAGCGCTATCAAGGATGCTTTTTTCATTATCGCGGAAAACGAAATGATGCAGACCAATTGTGAGTGATGACCCAAACATAGCACTCCTGACTGCATCGTCAGGCTAACAGCGGGCAGCTCCCACAGAGGACAACCTGATGGGGGGTCCTGTCGCACCTTCACCTCCCCCGAACCGAACTCCTTTGACTACACCTGCAGTTGGCCGGCCCGCTGCACCCCGTCCTCAAGGATCCCCTCATTATGATTCACATCGCCAGCCCTCACAAGTACCACAACAGGTCGACTCGGATGATTTCGAAAGTTCCCGAATCAGCCATGTTCGCATTCTGCCGACCAGCCTGCCCTATGTGCATGATCAGCTAATGGAACAACGGGAGCGGGAGCGGGAGCAGCGGGCGCGTGACGCGGACCGATTACGAGAAGAACGTGCTCAGGCCAGTCTCGACGACGATCTTTCCGGCGCACGTTCCCCCGAGGAGCAGGAAGCAACCGCTAGAGCCTTGAAACCGCACTCCCGTAGTATCATAGACTTGAACAAACTGCGCCTGGAACCCCCAGAGGCTCGGAGTGCACCCCAGCAGCCCAAGAGAACCCGCAAGTGGCAGTTTGGTATTCGGTCTCGCAATCAACCTTACGAGGCTATGCTCTATCTATACAAAGCCATTGCAGCACAGGGCGGCGTGTGGGAGATCCAGCCCTCCGAAGCAGGTTCGTTTTATTCCAAGTTACTGACGCACGTTCTTGAACTAATTAGTTTACAGAAGGCACAACGCCCATTGGGGTTGAACGGCGACCAGGAGAAAGACCTTTGCAAGCGAAATATCCAGATCTTCCGGCCGACTACTACATCCCGAAGGACTCCTGGTTCATCCGGGCGCGTCTGTTGAAGCAAGGCGTCACGGCACCGGGTCGCTCAGCTAGTGTGCAGAGCAGCAAGAGTGATTTGGAAGAGCTTCGCCGTCGATTCAACATCTCCGGACTGTCGCACTCGGCCGAAGAGAAGAATCCTCTTACCATGGAGAATGCGACCAGCTCCGGCCCATCCTCCGCAACGCAGTCACACATGCCTGGACGGATCTCGCATGGGGTGTGGGTGTTTGTGGATATTCAGCTGTACCAGCTGGAGGAAAACAACTACATGGTCGACTTCAAGTGTGACGGATACCAGAACGTGATCCGCGCGGAGGGCGAGACCGACTGGCATCCCATCAGCAAACGGTACTTCAACAAGGAGAAGGAGATCACGAGCCCCTATCCTTTCCTCGACGTGGCGTCGGACTTGGTGGCTCAACTGGCTGTCGCCAGCTAATTGCATTTTCCTGCATTGTCTTGAGTTTGGGCGGCCGGCGTATAATGGAGTTCCTGCTTTGGTGCATGGCGCACACTGGCGTCTTATGATCTACGGCCTTTCTTCCTGTATCTTATTCTAATATTATGGGCATATGCGGAGAACGCACCTTGTTTGAGCACTGACAGTCAGATGGCTATTCTAGATCTAGGGTTTGTAATGCATATTTCAAGAAGAATCATTGTTAAGGAGGTCTGCTTTCCCACGTGGTAGCAATTCGAATGCCATTGCATGTAGGGATTTCCCACCATCAACTGGCTCCGGCCTTCCGCAATCAACCCAAATATCCATATCAGATCATAGGCACCTCCGAGTCGCAGTCGTGACGCACAGAATTCAATCACCTGACCGACAACGGAACATCAGACCATCGAAACAGGATCTTCATCATCGAATGCCGATAATCGAGATTACCGTGACCAGGTGAAGGAGCTCGATGGATACGTGCGTGGGGGAATGCGGACATGGAGATGGGGGGAGTGAGTCGGGGATAATTTCCCTGTCAGGGAGGTGAGTCGGAGAATCCGTTCGCTTATGAGTGGATATAGGGAGAAATGAATCAGCAGCCTGACATAAGTTAACTAGTTAAGAGTTACAGTTCGGACTCTGGAGGCAAGATATGGGGGTTACTCCGTACTGGCAGGCGGAAAAGCAGTTTGCCGCTCTCCACCTCCACAGTGGGAGAGTGGACTGTGGGAGGAGCGTGGGTGTGGAGAATCCATCAGTCCATCACAAGGACGCAACAGCGACCCGGCAGAGGATGTTTAGTAAATAAAGTCGTTGGCTGCTGGTTGATTTCGGATAGGTAGTTATGTTTGTTCAAACCTGTCCACCACCATGTCGTCCGAACAGCTGGCTCAATTGCAGAAGCCTACAGGCGAATATCGCCAGTATCTCCCGGATCTCAGCTTGAGACGCTTCCAGGTGATGCGCGGCCAGGATGCGCATGAGTACGCGCATGATTTCAAGACGCTGCGCCATCCGCCGTGGCTGCATGCGCTTTATATGCACTGGTTGGATTTGCTGCAGGAGCCTTTTAAGGGTGTCACAACTGATGGTATGTTAGCCAGCCCTTATGTATCTTGTCTGGTGAGTGTTGACGTTGACTGATTTTCAGGAAACGTGCGCCCCGGTCTGTTCACATTACAAGACGAAGGTGTCCCCATCGCGGAGATCGTCACCGCAGCAGAGTCGCTGCTCTCCATTCTTGACGACAAGCAGCGCCAGTCCCTCAGCTACCACATCGACTCGCCCGAATGGCGCACATGGTCGAACCCCGAATTCCTCCTCAGCCACAAAGGCTTGCGTCTCGACGAAGTCACCCCCTCCATCCGCGACGCCATCCTGCACATTATCGAGACGACACTCTCTCCAGAAGGCTACGACAAGGCCGTCAAAGCCATGCGCATCAACCACTTCCTCGGCGAGCTGGTCGACTCCCCCCGCGTCATGAACGAATTCTCCTACAACTTCGTGCTCTTCGGCCGTCCGTCCCCCGATAGGCCCTGGGGCTGGTCCTTCTACGGCCACCACCTCTGCCTCAACATCTTCCTGTACAAGTCCCAGATCGTCGCCTCCCCCTGGTTCACCGGCGCCGAGCCCAACGAGATCGACAGCGGTCCCTACGCAGGCACCCGCATCATGCAAGTCGAGGAGCAGCTCGGCCTGCAGCTCATGCAGTCCCTCTCCCCTGAACTACAAGCCCAGGCGCGGATCTTCGCCCAGATGCATGATCCCGCGATGCCCCCGGGCCGCTGGAACAAGGACGACCAGCGCCACCTCTGCGGCGCATACCGCGACAACCGCGTCGTGCCCTACGAGGGTATCCCCGCCACCTCCCTCACAGAACCCCAGAAACAACTCCTCTGCGGCATTCTGGAGCAGTACCTCCTCTATCTGCCCGCGCGGGCGCGGCAGCTCAAACTTGCCCAGGTCCGCCAGTATGAAAGCGAGACATATTTCTGCTGGATTGGCGGGTTCGGCGACGAGGACCCCTTTTACTATCGCATCCAGAGCCCTGTTATTCTCGTCGAGTTCGATCACCACTCTGGTGTGTTTTTGGGTAATGAGGAGCCGAAGAAATTCCATATCCATACGCTGTTACGGACGCCCAATGGGGGCGATTACGGGATGGCGCTGCGGCCGTTGATTCCGGCTGTGGAGGGGGTTAATGGGAAGGAGATTACCTGGGAGAAGTCGGCGTTATAGTTGTTAAGTCTAGGTAAGCTGTCTTTATACGCTTAATCTGGTAATTCTGAAGCGATACGCGTAATTCTATTAGAGAATTGGGCCGCTGATCATAATCAAGAGAATGATATGCCAGAAGATTCTTCCAACTGAATTTGGTAAGCAGTAATCAATGCAACATTAGAATTCAGGAGTATATAGATACCCTAGGTAGCCACCTGCTTGAGCAGAATAGGACCCTTCCTAACTTGATCACTGCATACAACTTAGCAGCGATATCCAAGCCAGGACTGTCCTTCGGATTGCCACTGATGAGACCGGCTTGCCCTGATGCACATAACCGGGAGTCAAGAGCCAGAGAGAAGAGAATGCGATATTTGCGAAAGTAATCGCACAAAGTTCTGCGTTCTGGCCGTATACAAGCACCGGGAAATCCGGCTATAAGTCTCGGTATTTCCGAGCAGCTCGTGAGCCTCCGCAGACATCCAGTACCTTACGGAATAACAGCCGGCAGTCTATCCACTAGCTGATCGGCTGATGGAGGCGCTTACTGGCTGCTTGATGGAGTTGTTTTAAAGTATTATAAGACCTGCTTCTCTCCGGGGTTAAGTCGTCACATCCTCAACATTGTCTCTTCCTCACATCAGCGAGATCTACAAATGCAACACAATGGTGAGAGGCTACTGGCAATTCTCGTATATGATTAATTAGTTAAATCAAAATAGGTTTCTGAACAAGCTCATCTCCACATTATCATTGCCGGTGCTGGCCTTGGTGGTCTAGCCGCGGCAGTCTCCTGCGCACTCTCCGGACATACAGTCGAAGTAGTCGAGCAAGCAAAGGAACTCGTCGAGGTCAGTGGTGTATAGAAGATGTCACACTGCCGATCTAAATAAAGTAGGTTGGCGCAGGTCTTCAGATAACCCCCAACGCCTCGCGACTTTTCAAATACTGGCAACTTCCCAACTCCATCTGGCAAGCCGCAGCTGAGCCCACGGCGCTCACCGTCCATCGCTATACCGGTCAGATTCTCGCGAACGAACCCTTCTTTCACAAGAATATCCGCGCAAAGTATGGCGCCCCATTCATCGACCTGCATAGAGTAGATCTGCAGCAAGCCTTGTTTACCCGTGCAAAGGAGCTCGGCGTCACGTTCCATCTCAACGAGAGAGTCGACTCAATAAACTTTGATACAACAACGGTCAGAACCCTAGCTGGCAATCGGTACACCGGCGACTTGATCATTGCCGCCGATGGGCTCTGGTCTCGCTGCCGCGAGTGTTTCCTAGGGAAGAAGGATGCGCCGCTTCCCACTGGCGATCTGGCTTACAGAATCGTGCTAACTGCGGACCAAATCTCGGATCCGGAGCTGAGGGCATGGGTCGAGAACCCAGAGTGCCACTTCTGGATTGGCCCCGGTGCACATGCGGTTGCCTACTCGCTCCGCAATGGACGCATGTTCAACATTGTGCTGCTTGTGCCGGATAATCTGCCCCCCGGAGTCTCCAGGCAGTCTGGTTCGGTGGAAGAAATGCGGAAGCTCTTTGAGGGCTGGGATCCAGTGTAGGTTGCCTCCTTTTCGTCTCCTTTGATACTGACAATAACAGTCTGAATCGCTTCCTGAGCTACGTCGACAGCGTGGACAAGTGGAAGCTGATGCACCGTAAGTATCCTGCAACAAAGCAGTTGCAGCACCGGCTGATGTTATCTTAGACGCTGAATTGGAAACCTGGGTAAACGACAAGTCAAACTTGGTCTTCCTGTACGCATCCCCTCCGTTCCTTAATATCCACCATCTAACCCCACACAGCGGTGACGCCTGCCATCCCATGCTCCCCTACCTCGCACAAGGCGCCAACTCGTCTCTCGAAGACGGCGCAGTCCTGGGCCAATTACTCGGCCACATGAAGAACACATCACACCTACCCCAGATCCTCCGCCTGTACGAGAGCTTGCGGAAATCCCGCGGCGAGGCCATCGTCAAGGAGACCTTCAAGCAGGTCAGTCTGCCATCTCGTTCCTTCCACTGCAACGCATTGACATTCTTCAGAGACATGATTTCCACATGCCAGATGGCGAGGAGCAGGAAAAGAGAGATGAGATCTTCTTGTCTCAACTTGGAAAGGAGATTAAGGGCGCGTTTCCCAGTAGATGGTGAGTACAGTACTGTCTGCGGGACAATCAGCCGCTCACACGATACCAGGACATGTCCAGAGGTGCAGCCCTGGCTTTATGGCTACGATGCAATCAAGGAAGTCGAGAAGGCGGTTATGCAGCACCCAGAGTTGTTTGCCAGGACGGCTGCGAGTCTGTAGTCTGTTTCTTCTTACATAGATACTATATATCGACTGCATGATACTATTGCTTCTGTCAGCCTCTTTGCGAGTGTATATCTATCAGCCATTCGACATTGGCAGCCCACCCAAATTATCAAACAACCTCACAGAGAAATACCTGACTTACCGGCCACTTGCACACTGCCGCTGATTACACTGATAGACGCATTAAGACCAACTTTCTGCACTTCATGGGTCTGGAAAGGAAGACAAGATGTGACAGCACGTTGTCGCTTCGGTCGCGGTGCAGGTTCATCTGCTGAGGTACGGGGCGCGGGGTGTCGGTGGGGCTGATGCAGCATCGTCCATCGTTCATTAAGTTATGTATTATACATACGCTGTCAAGCGTGACTGTAGATATATGACATGGACAAGAGTCGCGATAGAGAAGCTGCACCAGATATTCCGAAAAGCCGGGAGCAACTGCCGGATGATTCCCCACGGGGTTCCCCGCTTTTTATGCTTCGAACCAACAGGTTGATGGGTCCACTACAGAACGATAATTGCCGGCTCATCGGTATATTCTTGCCTATGTACGTAACAAGCGCATGTCTAATCTTCTCATTCAGTTTTCACATATGGGTGGGTTTTCTGTTGCGACTATCATCCCAGGAAAAGTATTCCCCGTAGAGTTCGAGACATAGCGGAAGAAATCTACCCAGTCGCATAGGTGATTAGGTTATAGATCTTGGTATGGGGTCCAGCGACTCCAGCATTTCAGGGTTGACGCTATTGTCCAGTGCCAAATCGACTTATCTGGCCAAACAAATATTGGCAAGCTATTCGGTACACTGGACACCTGCTGTGGTGACCGACCTCACTCCTATACCCATTTTGCCTCCTAGATAGACTTGCCATAGCTGCGTACGTTACGGAACTTGGGTTTATACATGATGGCCCATTACACCTCTGCATAGGTCAATAGCCAAGACTCTGATTGTTTGCTTAAACAGATGTTGATTACGCAGAGACTGTCCATACAGTAAGCCCTCTCGTCAGTCAGACCCAACCTTGGGGGTACCACTGACACCATATAGAAACAAATTACTGCAACAATAGCGACCAAGCACTCCAGGTCTCATAGAGCTGGAAATGTTCCTCCGCAATGGCTGGACAAAGACCGCAATAAGCAAGTCACGGCCAAAACAATGCTCAAGTTATTGAAACTGATCGTCAGCTGGGCTCGAAGTTTATCGAACAATGGGAGAAGTGGAAGCGGTCTGAGAAGGTGTATGTTGAGTATGAGGCGAACCATGCAACAACCTGCAGATATATTTGACTTTCCGCTATGGATGAGGGATTGTCAGTAGGTCTGATGTTTGAGCCAGCGTTTTAGTCTGAGAGCCTCTAACCTTGGGCAGAGGAATACTTGCAATGGCTCGCTTTGCATACAAGATCATCTTGTCAGACCAGGAAGAAGCAATGACTCTTCCGTTGACCGAGCTTCTCCTGGGAGATTTCACTCTGCATAATGATTACTACTCTTGCGAAAAGGAGAACTATTTCTACCAAACCAAGGAGAACAAGCTGCCCATCTCGAACGCGGTCACCCTGTTCATGAAGTGACACTTTATGCCACTAGAAGAAGCAAAGGCAGCTGTTAAAGCCGCCGCGGTTGAAAGGGAACAGCGATATCTTCAAGCCAAAGAGGAATTTCGGAACAGCAAAGAAGCCTAGATACGTCTGCATCCTCAAATATAAGAAAATGGCTGGACATCATGGAGCACATTGTAGCAGGGATCTCCTTTGGAGCATTTCCTGTCCTACGCAACCCGAACAACCAATATCTTGATTATTATCAGGCAAGGTGCAGTCAAGGATACAATTTCGCCGAACATTGTCCAAGATCAGAGTCATTTGTGAAGCCTCAAACCATCGTTGAACCAGTTAATGGAGTGTGCAGCACAACTGGGCGGCAGGGAGACGATCTTACTGACCAGTCCACGGCCTTTTTGGACCAGGCTGTGTAGCCCTAAACGAAACTGTAAGTCAGGGTAGCTGCTTATAAAATCATATGTACTGACACCAACACAGGTTATTAAATATCCTTCCACATATGTCAGGTCATTGCCTTCGAAAAGGATGCGGCAAACATTCATCCACGCGTTGAATCAAGGGTACCATGTGCCCGACCAAGAAAGGGAAAATCGTATGACCGCTATTGCTCTTCTTCATAATTGCTCTTTGATGTATGTTGGAGACATATATATAACCTTACTGACCTCTCCATTTAGGTTAGACGACATGCAAGACGAGTCGCCCCAACACTGAGGAAGACCAGCAGCACATATGATATATGGGTGGGCGTGCACAAACCATGAACTCGGCATACTACATGTACCTTGAGGCGCTACAGACCCTATGCAGGCTCTCTAGCCCTTCTATACCGATATAGCTGGGTGAGGAATTGATCCGCCGGTCAATTTTGGCAAGTGAAGTAACCATTGAGATAAAGAGGAATTCGGAACTCCGAATGGGACACTCTTGGTGTACTGCGGAGCCTTTACCGTGAGGTGAAAAAGGAGCTTCACAGACTCGAAGAGGTGATGGGAGTATGAACTGGGTGTTGCGGATGCTGTTGTCTAAACTGGGGTTGGCATCTAGAGGTCTTCCTTGTGCCCTCTTGTGGCTACCTGGAAGAATCATTGATATTGCTCAGAATCAATAAATAATATCAGTACTGCGTTCGTTGTCGCTATCAGCTCTAAATCCATTGACCTCCTGTAGGCGATAGATTTTGAAGATAATTAGGGTTAGGTTATTTTCTACCATAATCTTCCGATTACCAATGGTACTGCAACTATTGGCATTCGCTTACTGGGGCACCATGGGTACTACTACTAGGCTAAAAGACCAACATTACTGCAAAATGCCACACCTCGCAATCCAGACCCTTATAGTAGCTATAAAAATGTTAACCCGCGAAAAGGTCAGCCTTCGGACGATAAGTGGTTGAAATCATACGCTCTTCCATAGACCCTTTAAGAAGGGAGACCTCTTGTCTGGCTTGATAGGAAGTATAACAAAGAATGTCTCCAATCTTCCCACGTGAAGTGACTCAGGTATGCATCAACGCCTTATCTTTTATGAACCCCGAAACTCCTCTTCGCCAGCATCCGTGTAGCTGTAGCTCCCACGTAACATCTTCCGATGTACTTGAAGAATCATGCCGGAGCACTTATATTGCTCATACTCTCCGCGGCGTATTAGCACTCGTTCCAATCCTTCCCCCTCCGGGACCCCCGTCGCCATCTCCGAAGCGCCTCCACGGTCGAGCAGCTGCTAGATCATTGCGCGATGGCACCGAAGTCGACGAGCTGCGGCTTAGCGATGCAGGCGAGGAGAGAGTAGATGATTCAGCCGACGAGGCAGCATTCCTGGCACTAAACGCAGCGGCCGCCGGGTTGCAATGCGCACAGACGAAGATGCCAAAGCCGCGTCCATTGCAGCTGGCACATACGGCTCCTCTGCGAGATATCAGAATGGGTGCAATACTCTTCTGAAAGACATGCAGAACGTACCTTGGTGCGTTACCTGCGCAATCCCGACAGGTCACGACGGTCCGCCCTCCTATGCAAGATGTATGCTCTGGATCCAGGTCCAGCGACGACATAGTGCGATATGACACTGTGCTGTCTCAATCTCAATTACGATAGCACGACAATATTGTATGCTTTGGAGCTTGCGCCGAGGACTCAAAGGTTGAAGGCAGACTGTAGACACAATTGCATTCCGAAGCAAGCGATCCGTGATGCCTGGCTGACATCTGTTGGCTGCGTCTAAAAGAACAGTCCTGATCAGCTTAGGAAATGAGTTGCTTATCAGTCTCGTCTTAATACAGCTTCTATATCTGCGCAGGTGGTATGATTAGATTAGATGAGCAAAAAGAAACTTGGCCTTGCAGGCCGAACAAGGCCCCTCCCTGTCCAGTCCAAACGGCGATCTCTCCGTATGCCGTCAGCAAAAGACCATAGGGTCACTGAACTGTGCGACTAGAGTTTCGAGGCTATTCATCCTGTTTAGATCCTTGCTGGTGGCGAATCAACGTCTGTCGTTCATGTCGGAGACGCGGCGGAGTCAGAGGAGATCGGCTGCGGTGACAGGGATCAGGAACCAAACCATCGAAGCGACGCCCAAGCGGCCCAACGATCCAGTAGACACGCGTTGAGAATCATCGGCAAGTCAGATTTTCGAAAATGGAAAATTGACGGCGAGTGCGGTCCATAGAGCCGGGTCCGAGTCGCCAGTGCTTGAGATGGATATTGGAAAGTCGACCAGATATCTTGGTCCGAGCCTCGCTCATGACATGCCGCATGAAGCTAGGTCCAGGTAGGAAGGGAACGAGCGCCGAATCATGCAATCAGAGTGAAGGAAAGAAGCGATAAACAGGAGAAGTGTAAGGAATTGGAAAAGTCGCAAAATCCATACCATGGAACGAAGGCGAAAGCATGGCAGCCACCGAGAGCTGTGTTACTCGAGTCGCGAATGACAGGGAACGAGCATAAGAATTTCGAATTGCTGACCGCTCCAACGAAGCAAGAGGGGGCTAGCTGACAACCACGGATAGATGCAGGGCAACGTGCCAGCATGATATCATTCTTGTGTATCAAATATAGATCACACAGAACGCTGTTCTAGAAGATGTACAGACGAGAGAGAAGTAACATCAAGTTAGTATCGCGTTCCTGTCAGCAATGCCGATACCTTTTACTGGCGCCCACAAATCACGTTTCTATTTTGAGCAAAGACACGATCAATTTCTGCACGGCTTGAATGTCATTCGTCTCGCTAGTTCGTAGCCCACTAGCGAACCGTCTAATGCATGCTCAATCACTGTGTTCCTATGACCGATGATGCGATGATTAACGGAATTGAGCACAGCGACTCAAATGCGACTCTTAGCGAGAGTGCAGCTTCTGCGGCGCATACACCATTGCGCTGCATAGTAAGATCCAAGCTACTGCAAGACCAGTAAAATCATGTCAGCCTATGGGAAGACATGCTAGAGGACGCTGTCCGATATGTCAACAGCTGGTTATGATCTGGCTTCCATCAACCCAATCGCTTGCAACGGGATGTCAGGGATCTAGCTGGCTTAAACTCCATTATAGTCCACCCGAGATACCGGAGCCTCGGACTAGTAAAGTGAGTGACTGTGTGAGAAAGGTGACGGGTATCTCTCATAACGGTCTCGTGAGCACTCTCAGTACTGCGTCTCTGAGATCTCGTCTCTTAATGCGAATATGTGGTCTCATGCAGGTATCCGTCCGATATACGAGCAGTGGAAACTGCAGAGCGAGTTTAACGATTTTACCACCCGTATAGTGCCAGAAGGCCGTGTACCGACTTGGAGTTTTTGTGCCAAGGAAAACCTTCTGTGCCTCATATTGGATGCATGGCACTTTACCTGCAGATCGAGTGATCACATGTCCTTGAGGTCGTAAGGCATGAAATGAAACATGGTCCCAGAAAGCCCTTCTCACAACAAATGTGAGATGCATTTGCAGCTGAAGTGCTGTTGCAGCTAATTGGCTCGCTAGCCCGGCGCAGGTTTCTGGTCCCTGTAAAAGATAACTCAGACGAACCTTGCGCGCTCACCGATTGTCCCCATGAAACTGATATGTCGTATTCATAGTACAGAGAGGTTACATCCGTCCATGTGGGAAAAGTCCAGAGTGTCAAGAATCATAAGATCCAGAATATAATAAGAGGAAGACGGCTGGAGAGCGTTTGCAGCGAAGAGTTATCCCAATCGAACCGGCCGATCCGGCTTGGGGATGGGAGAAATGGATACAAGATCAGCATATGACAGGCATATTACTTATTGGTGGTGGAGCTTAGGCGAATATGCAAGCATCCGTTGTAAATCCCGCATTAGAGAGAGTTTCACCTTGGCTTCGTGTGCCATTCCAACTGCCATCGGAACCTTGCTCGAAATCTCCAACCAAAGACTGATGCCCATGAAAGATGTGGCTGAGGCAGGAAATCTCCACTTTTCTTGGTTTTTTTGCGCTCTTTGGAGGATATCTCCGCAACATATTGATGGCCGAGCGAAAGGGCCTACCATGCGTAATAATGTAGAGTCAGTTCCTTTATCCTTGGCGTTGGTGACGTGATGGTGTTGATGTTGCACAAAACCGAAGCACAAGAGGAAGCGCCGAACAGATTGTGATCAGCTGACATCTGCCCTCAATATCAGGCAGCCAATCCTAGATAACATCGTTTTGTATGTTATAGCCAATCCATGTCCTTAGAGGGACCATTATCGGGCTTATACATGGATTAGAATCATGGCCAGATGCTCCGAGGACCGGAGGAACCCAGTATGCTCAGTGATTACAAGCCCTCAGACTCGACACCAGACACCATGCATTGCCAGCTGGTGTTGAGAGTCACGGGTGAAATGGAATCCTAAGCAAGAATTTGACTGTTTGAGCGGTATGGTCATCATGGGAGCTGCGCAGAATTATGTCTGGGCCTCTGCAGTAAGCTACCAGTGCGGAAGACGCATCATAAACATATCTCATTGTAAGATTCTTCCTTAAGGATAAATAAAAGGAGACACG